AAAAAAAAAAAAAGATATATTTTGGGGGAATAAAATCCTCTCAGTTCTACCTTAAAACATATCCAGCACCCAGTCACTTCTCATCACCTCCTTTGCTACCTCTCTGCTCCAAGCCACTATCACCTCTCATAAGGATTATGAGCAAAGCTTCCTGGTCTGTTCCCTTCTACCCGCTTCCCCTTCAGTCTATCTCAATACACCATCCGGTGTGATCCTATTAGAAAGAGTTGATCGGATTATTTACTTCTGATTAAAACCTTCCAATGGCTTCACGCCTCATGTGGAATAAACACTTCTTGTGATCTGACCCCTAACTGTATTTTACTGCTTGTACTTTATCTCCTGCTTCCTCCCGCTTACTCAGTCTACTCCAGCCACCCTGCCCTTCTTGCTGTAGGTTATCTGCCATTTCCCCAGGGAGGCATTTTTAAAATGCAATCCCTTTCCCCATGTCATAGTATAATATTTAACACTGTATACTTTACTATGTAGTCTATTTATGTTTTTTTTTCAAATCTCCCCCCACCCTTGCCCCACTGGAAGGCAAGCACCATGAAGGCAAGAATTTTTGTTCATTTTGGTACTGTTGTACCTCCAATGCCTAGAAAATAGTAGGCCCTCTTCTTGCTGAATGAGTGAATGAGAATTTGATATCAAATCTAAAATTTTCCTACGAGAAAACATGAGACCATGCTGTGTTTCGAGGAAAATGAGTAGTTTTGATAGATGGTCTCTGAACACAAGGGGTCAACTAATAGTTTTTTACAGTACCTAAAGATTAACTGTTGCTTGGTCTTCAAAGTAAAGACTGAAAATGCCTTCTTCCTCTTCCAAAATTTGGGCATGAACTACTGAATTATTTATCTGATTACAAGTCTTTCCTTGACTTGCATGATTCTCTGAGGCCCTTGATCTCTCTCTACCCTCGATGACTTTAATGAGGACACCACTTGCAACATGAATTCTCAATCTTAGTTTTGGTTTCTAGTCCACCAAATCTAGTACTGTCAAGTGAACAGCTCTAACCCCCACATCCAACCATTTGTTCAAGTTAAAAATCTGGAAATCATCCTTTAGTCCTTCCCTCTCTCATTTTTCACTTTCAATCCACAGTTGTGGATTTATCTCCTAAAATCTCCTAATCTCATTTGAATGCATTTGCTCCTTTCCATCCCCACACACTGCAGTCAGGCTATCATCTTTTGTCACCTGAATTATTCAAAGGTTCCTCTGATTTCTGTAGCTCAGTCTTTGTCAAGATATTCTTTTGACAATGCAGGCTGGGTAATCTTTGTAAACACTCAGATTGAATTGAGTACTTAAGCCAGGCACGGTGGCACCTGGCTAGAGTCCTGGCTATTGAAGAGGCTGAGGCAGGAGGATTGCCTAAGCCCAGAAGCTTAAGGCCATCCTGAGCAACATAGCGAGACCCTGTCTCTAAAATAAACAAACAAACAAACAAACAGATAAATACTTTAAAAGATCCCTTTGCTACCAAGACTAACAATCACCATTTATTAAATGCTTACTATATGCCAAGCACTTTGCTAAACATTTTAAATACCATCACATTTAATCTCTCCTGACCTCTCTCAAGCCATGTGTAAACAGAAGGCTCAGTGAAGTTAACTATAATAATTCGTCCAAGATTACCAAGGCAGTAGGAAGTCGCAGAGATGTGATCAACTCTAGAGTCACAGCAATCTGGAGGCCTGTGGTCCTAACCCCTATATGATACAGAAAGGTAGAGCAGCAGCAATACCATATAAAGCAGGGTTTAAAACATCCTTTAGGATCTGGACTGAGCTTACCTCCCCACATCGAACTCTGTGCAATAGTGCTCTCTCATCTCTGGCCATTCCAAGTGCTGCCACCTTCTTTTCATACCCTCACAGCCCTAAAAGCCTCAGCTCTCCCTTGTCTGTCTAATTCTTGGTCATCTTTCAAGTCGCAGTTTAACATCACTTCTTCCAGGAAGTTTCCTAGCTCAAGTTCAGATAAAGTGGTGCCCTTTCTGAAGATGGCCATAGCAGTTTGTACTTCTTACACAATTATTACAAGATTATAGCACTTATTAATATCTAATCTGGCAAGTACTCACTTGGTTTTGTTAGTTTTTCTTATTCTCCATTTCATTTCACTACTGTATCCTCAAAACTTTCAAAGTGCTTGGCACATAGTCACGACTACATGGCAAGTATATTGATCAGTTTTGTTATTTCCAAAGCTTAGCTTAGTGCCTGGCCTCTCCTACGGCACAAAACATATTAAGTGAATAAAGTATTGAATTATACTTGAACATAAATTTAGTACATTTGCCATACTATAAATATTCTTTTTTCTGGGTGCAATTTCCTGGCATTTCCAAATGTATACACTATATGTGTACCCCTGTCAAAACTGTCCATTTAACATTGTAAGCGCCTACAAAGCTGGTGGATTCAGACTGTATCAACGGATAGGACAGTTTGTTGTTCACACTCTGCCACAGTGTGTGTATTGTTCTACGTTCCGTAGATCACTGTTTTTATATTCGTGGACTTTGAATATTTATAACTTGGACAATTCACTTTGCCTCATTTATCACGTAGTATCTGTGTTTCCTAAACTAAATACGGAATGCCTAGATTAGATTAACGCTGCACAACAGCCATACAAGGAAACTGCATGCTAGCATCAAAAGGCTTCTACGTCCTCTCTGTTCACTAATTTATTTGTTAGAAAAATACATGCTACAGAGAGGCTTAATTACAGACAAGTGTGAGTTATTCAACTTGTCATTAAAAGACGCCTGGGCTTCGTCACCAAATCAGTATTTTGCCCTGGCTGGGAAGACCGGTTCCGGTAACGCAGAAAAACTACAAATCTCAGCATGCAACGCTCCAAGAAGTGCTAAGGAGACCAGAGAAGAGAGGCGCGGTGCACTCTGGGGTTTGTAGTAACCACCCAAGCCCGACAGTCACCACCTCGATACTTACCGGACCCAGCTACTACCAAGAGACTGAGAGACCGCCGGGGCGTAACGTCCTGGGAATGAAGCACTATCCATAATCGCAGGACTAGGAAGACTGCCACAGCCCCTGCCGCTGCAGCTAGAACGAGGACACACACCATGCAAAGAAGCGGCGCATGCGTGCTGTTCCCTGGAACGGGCCGCGCACGAGCGGTCAAAGTTCGCCACTACGGGCGCTGGGAGACTCAAACGCGGAGGCACACCTCCTAGTGGGCGGGGCTCTGCGGCGATTCTGGGCTGCGCTGCGCGATCCCACGCTGCTGGTGTCCGAGCGTAAGGTGAAATTCCGGAAGTTAGTCGCTGGAGAAGTTTGAGTTCCGCAGGTGACGAGATCAGGCCACCTGTGCACCCTTGAAGGCCCTGAAGCTCCTGAGTTAGGAGGTGTTCCAGCTCTTCCAATTTTGTGAATTCCCTCCTGCTGCTAATGGCATACATATATCGCTTTTTTTCTTTCTTCTTTTAAAGCAAAGAGAAATGTTTCTGTTGTACATACTGACATTACTGAAAGTGTTTGCCAGTAAAAGGTACTCTCGGAAGAAAAATTGAATGTAGGGCCCTCAAACAAACTCCCTCTTTCCTAACACTCGTGATTTTTTTTGTTGTTTTGACTTTTCTAGGCGTTTTCACAACTCTCAAACAGTGACCAGAGTGGTTGAGGGTGATCACCTCGATTTATGCCATGTTCCTGAGAGAAGTGGAAGCTATCGGCCCAAGGCAGCGGGGTAGAGAAGGCATAGTCCTACAGTTAATACTCAATTTTACCACAGAGCATTCTCAGTTTGTTCTTAGTGTCCTCAGCCATAATGATGATCTGCCAACACCTCCTCCAATCTTGATTTTGCTTTTTTGTTTTTGAAACAGGTCTTGCTTTGTCACCCAGGCTGGAGTGCAGTGGCAGGATTACAGCTCACTGCAGCCTTGAACTCGTGGACTCAAGTGATCCTCCTGCTTCAGCCTCCCAAATAGCTGGGACTACAGGCATGAGCCACTGTATCTGGTCCAATTTTGCTCATTATTGTGTCTAATCCATATTACAGCAATGTGAAAATACTAAGATTAAAGAAGCTGCTTCACCCCAAATGTAATTTGCCTTAGGTCCATCATAGGCCTGTAAGTTATATAGGAAAGGTATACAGACGAGTAAACAGGTTCAGAAAAATGCAGCTGCTTGCCCAAGTGTAATAGTGTCAGATCTAGAATTAGAAACCAGAAATCCTAACTGCTGCTGCGTGGAAGTACTACATCTTGTATTCCTTTGTTAAATTCAAACTTGCCTGATCATCACTCTTACCTGGGACCTAGAATGTGGTTTTAAAAGTGCAGGCTCCCAGGGTCCACTAGAGAGCTACTGAATCAGAATCTCCAGGGAAATCACCTGGGATCTGCTTACATAACCAGTATGTCAATTCCTACCAGATGGCAAGTTTGGGAGACTTTGTGGATACCTCATTTCCTGGCTCATGGACCTTACAACACTTTGCAAATTCAGTCTTCCATCAAATCTTCTTAGCCCTACGTTCTCACGGTGAGGCCAAAAATGGATATTATTCCCTTCTCTACAGATAGTGAAGTAGATTTCATAAAAGTTAAGTAATTTATCTAAGGTTTCTTAGCTAGTGAGTGGTGGAGAAAGTTCATAGTTGTGGACTTAAAAGTCAGTGTCTCTGAAATTTTAATGGAATTAGAATCCTGTGGGCTTACAAATGCAGAGTTGGAAGTCCACAGGTATGACCTCTGGTGTAGTATGAAAAATAGCTCAAGAATGTTACAAAGGATATCTTTTTCTCTGCCCACTCTGCCATTCCCCGCAATGGCCTCACCCTGAGACTTTCTTTCCTCATACTTAAAAAGAGACATTAGTGGTCCCAGAAATTACATCCACGCAGGGCAATCTCCAGAGCCAAAAAAGAGCTTATCTTGTCATTGGGTCTTTTTTTAAAGGCGAGGAAACCTTTTCCAGAACCCCTTATAGCAGACTCTCTTTCACTCCTTTTGGCCATATTTATATCACTTGCCCATGCATCAAAGGAAAGAGACCCCAAAGGTGGGAGTGGAGGATGGAAGAAAACTCATCTGTAGTATATGGCCATTGTCTGGAGGGTGAATACTGAACAAAATGGGCATTCTCTTGGAGAGGAGGAAGTTGAAGGAGGGAGGGAGGTTGGGTAGGCAAACTATAGCCTCTGGGTTGCTGTAAAGATAATGTGTGTGAAATGGCTTTGTAAACTGACACATGCAGTGCAATGTTGGAGATACAATAATTATTTGCCTCTAGGCCCCAAGCTCGATATTAGGGAATATTTAATATTTAAAGGAGATTCTTACATTTCCCATGACCCTATCCCCTCACTATTGCAATTACCTATATCTGTAGGAAAAATCAGTTTGACCACACTTGCATGCAGCTGGAAAGAATGGAAGCAATCCAGCGTGTGGGGCCAGCCAGTAAATTCAGAGAGTCAAAGAGGGTGGAGTAGCAGACATTGTTTGGAGTTACTAATTGAGTTATTCTGAGTTAAGGCAAGGGTCAAACTGTTAAGTTTTCCTGTCAAGGAAGTCAAGGACTGCAGGGAGCAGCTAGGTAGGTAGCAGGCAGGGACAGGAACAAAGTTAAGAATTCCTGAACAAAAATGTTTACTGGGTAAGCTGAGTCCTGGGCCGTATAATCAAGAGGTCAAGAAACTATAGTGGATTAATCAGGAAAGTGAATGCTGAATGAGAAGCAACAAGAACTGAAATTTCTCTGGAAGGTGAGTTGTACTGACAATTCAGATAACAGATTCACGGAAGTAAATTGTAGTGCTGCAAAAAGCATGAAAAACATATTAATAGTTGGTAAAATGAATAATATGTGGTCTGTAACAAATCCTAAGTAAAGTCTATCTTGAAGTGTGATTTTTTTTTTTTTTTTTTTTTTTTTTCACTCTGTTCCCCTGGCTAGAGTGAGTGCGGTGGCATCATCCTAGCTCACAGCAACTTCAAACTCCTGGGCTCGAGCGATCCTCCTGCCTCAGCCTCCCGAGTAGCTAGGACTACAGGCATGTGCCACCATGCCCGGCTAATTTTTTCTATATATTTTTAGTTGTCTAGCTAATTTCTTTCTAGTTTTTCGGTAGAGACGAGAGTCTTGCTCTTGCTCAGGCTGGTCTCGAACTCCTGAGCTCAAACAATCCGCCCGCCTTGGCCTCCCAGAGTGCTAGGATTACAGGCGAGAGCCACTGCGCCCAGCCTGGAGTGTGATTTTTATTATCTTCTTAAATCTATTTCTTAAAGTTTCTATGGCAATTATCTACTATGCATATTTTTAAAGTTTCTTAAAAGTTTGGATTATTTTGCACTATTTAGGATTGTACGTTGTATTCTTCAGGATTGTACATTCTTTAGGATTGTACATTGTAATTTATTCAACATGTAATGAGCATCTGCTATGTGCTAGACACTTTTAAGTGCAGGGGATGTCATATAAATAGGACAGTAGCCCAGGCAAAAACCTTGGACTAGGGAGATAACAGTAGAGGTAGAAGAGGACAGATTTGAGATACATTTTATAGAAAAAGTCAATAAAACTTGTTGGCAGATTAGATATTGGGAATGAAGAAAAAGAAAACAATATTACTCCTAGATTTTGGGCTTCAAAACTGGTTAGATGGTGTTATTTAGAAAGAATAGATAGACGGGAAGAGAAACAAGCTTTTGTGGGTAGGGGAAGGGGAGAAAATGAAGTGTTCCGTTTTGGACTTTAGTTTGAATAGCCTGTTAGATATCCAAGTGGTTATGTCAAAATAGACAGTTTTATGCACAGATCTGAAGCTTGAGTCAGCTCTAGAGGTATAAATTTAGAATTCATTAGAATATAGATGATATTTAAAGCCATGGGACAGGGTGAGATCCCCTAAGGAGAGAGTTTCGGTCAGTCCTGTCCAATAGAACTTTCTACAGTGATGAAAGTGTTTTATATTTGTGTTGTACACTATCCTCGTATGCCTACTGAGCATTTGAAATGGGCTAGTGCAAGTGAGGAATTGAATTTTAATTTTATTTCTTCTGAATTATTTTAAATTTAAATAGCCACACGTGGCTAGTGGCTGCTATATTGGACAATGCAGGATAGAGAAGAGTGTGGGGTCACTAATATTTAGAAGTTTAGTAGAGGAGATTGAGCTAGCAAAGAATATGGAAAAAGAAACAGTCAGAGGGATAAGAGGAAAATTAGGAAAGAATGATGTCCACAAAAACCAAGAAAGGAAAATGATTCAAGAATGAGAGTGCAGTCAGCTATGTCACATGCTGTTGATAGATGGGCTCAGATGTCTTGGAACAGGTTAGTCATTGGGGATCTAAACAAGGTGGTGATAGAAGGCAGGTGCAAATAAGCTGAAGAAAAAATGGGAGATGAAGAATAATAGCAGTCTCTCTGGATGATCATTTCAATTTTTTCTTTGACAGAATGGATAAACTGGGTGGGCGATGGACAACAATTTGGAATCAAGCAAACATTTTTTAAGATGGGAGTTACTTAACATATTTGTTGATGTTAAAAAGATCCAATAGAGGGCCAAACATGGTGGCTCATGCTTGTAATGCCAGCACTTTGAGATGCTGAGTCAGGAGGATTGCTTGAGGTCGGGAGTTCGAGACCAGCCTGGGCAACATAGTGAGACCCTGTTTCTACATTAAAAAGTTTGCTGGGTGTGGTGGCTTGCACCTATAGTCCCAGCTACTTAGGAGGCTGAGGCAGGAGGATTGCTTGAGCCCAGGAATTTGATGGTGCAGTGAGCTTTGATTGGGACTCTGTCTCTCAAAAGGGAATGAGCACAGAAACAAATTTCTTCAAAAGATGTAAGGGTTGGAATCTAGAGCACAAGTGGAGAGGCTGAACTCTGAGAGGAGGATGGTATGGTAACAGGATGGAGGACAGGGATATGGATGCAGATGCAGGGAGGTTTGTATAATTTGTGGTGAGTAGATGGGAGTGTGGAGACTAGGGATACAGTGTGGGAGGCTTGAGGAGAGAAGGTCTGAAATAATCATCTTGAAGAGTAAGTGGCTTACTCACTAGGATCAGTGTAGGATTTCTGGGCAGATTAGAATACCATTTGAAGCTCGCAGTAACAAAAATAGTGAGAAACCAGTCAGCATAATTTTGTGTATTTTCCCT